AGGGTGGAAGTCCTTCCCCAGCACTCCTTGCTCCCTGCTATGACTCCCTACCAGGGAAGTGAAGTAATAGCTGCAGTAAGGGATGCTGCTGCTCAGTCCTAGGCTGGATGCATGAATGAGTTTTTGACCTTAGGTCTGTATCACAGTCACCCAAGGAACAAGAACAAAACAGATGCTGAGCAGGGCATGGTGACACACTCCCAGTATAAACCCAGTGCCCAGGAAGACACGGAGATTGCTGCTTGGAGTATGTAGCAAATTCAGGCTGACCTGGGTCTGGATTAAAATAGAGAGATATAGATGTTAAAGCCTGCCCCTGGTCTTGTGACTTATGGGGACAGAAGGCCTTTGATTGAGACCAAGTCATTTAACTTTCGTCCTCATCTAAAGTAAAGATGGAAAGTAGCTGGCTTAGAATTCTTAGCAAGGTAAACCAAGAAACACTCTTTAAGTGCTGTGCCTGTCATATGTCATCCAGTAGACATTAGTGACAAACACCACAAAACCCATTCCTGCTATTAAGTTTAAATGGACCTTTGATTGTTTTCATTCTTTGCTGCCTCCCCAAATCAAGAGTTGGTCCAGTTTCAGCCGAAAATGATGGCACACACTGAGGAGACAGGCAGACAGATCTGTGTGTTTGAATTCAAGGACAGCATGGTCTACATATCGAGTTCTAGAACAATTAGACAGGAGATCTGCCTCAAAATAAAACAGAAGTGGGCAGTTTAGAGAAAGACACACAAGGTCTGAGTCTTTGTGTGTTTTCCTCTCTCTCCTCTCTGTTCTCTCTCCCCTCTTCTCCCTCTCTTTCCTTTTCCCCCATTGTGGGGGTTATCGATAACTCACTGTATCCCAGGTTGGCTGTGAATTTGTAGCCATCCTCTTGCCTTAGCCTCCTGAGTTCTGGGATTGCAGGTGTGAACCACCAGGCTCAGTGACAAGGACCTGGTTTTTCATATTAAAAAGCTGGGGAATTAATGACCTTTTGCAACTATGACCTCACTGTTACAATAATTCTATTACTATTACCCCATGCCCTCTTCTGTCTTTTAGCTCTCTAGAACCTGATATGCTTGGCTGGGAATGTGACTCTGGTCAAGCACTCGCCAAAGCATTCAGGAGGTTCTCTGAAAGAATAAGCAAACAGTCAACAAAACCTACTAGGCAGTATACCTGAGCAGGCCACTCAGTCCCTCTGCAGCAGGAGTCAGCTGGAAACAGGCCAAGAGTAACAAGGCAAGAGGACAAAGTTAGGGTGCAGAGCCCCTGGAGAAGACCTTGTGCAAAGAACATGCATCCAACAGGAGGGGGAGGAAAGAGTCCATTGACCTGTGATGGATCCAAGTCGAGACTGCCTAAAGCTTGCGCGACTCCTTTAAAGTTGACAAGAGAGATAAAAGTTTTAGCTATATTGGCATCTGCAGCACCCTGCGACCCTGGTCCTAGTCCAGTGCCACTCTCAGTTCTTGGCTTTTACAAAGCATGGCCTTTGTCAGCTCAGCAGTTAGTAGGTTCTCCTTTTGGGGACTGCCTAACTCCTCAGGCAGGCCATCCCTTGCAGAGGCAGAGCTAGGTTTAGTTGGTAGAAGTAGAATTTGAAAGCAAAGAAAGCAGCAAGCCCTTCCTTCAGGCAGCTGCCTCTGTGTTCCCCAGTGTGGTCCCTAAAACTAGGGATTACTTGTGGGAATGGGCCCTTTCCAGTGGTAGCCTTGCTCAGCAGGGGGAGGTGGGCTTGGGCTGCCTCAGTGTGTGCTCTCATTATCTCCTCACCTTTGCAGCTGGAAGATGTGGAGTGGGAGGACTGGGACTGAGGAGAGCCAGAGCAAGCAGCTCCCCACCCAAGACATATCCCACCTCCCTTGCTCGCTAATCTCAGCCAGCCTTGGAAGACACTGAGAATGTCCCCCCCAAAATGGCCTCTACCATCCAGAAATTGGTGCAGATTCTGATGGCTCCGTGCTGGCCCTCTGCTCACACCTTGGAAGAACCTTTCCAAATACAAATCCAGAAGTCTGACTTGTGCCAACTTTAGGATGACTTAAAGGGAGGACCCGAACCCCACCGGAGAGCCTGCATTTCTCTACTGTTCTAGGGACTCCTGCTGGGAAACCTCCTGGGGTAGCTGTCTTCTGCACACACAGGAGCTGAAACACAGGTCTCTGAGAAGGCCATAAGCTAGTGAGCTAACAAGGGAGGCTAGCCACCTGCCCTTGGCTACACAGGGACAGTGAATAGCGTTTTGGTTCCTGTCTCAGTGAGTAAGAGGCAATCATCTCTGGGAAATTTGCCTCTCTCTGGAATCTCCCTCCCAAGTGTTTTCCACTCCTGTGAAGGTCCTATGGGTTCAGAATCTAAGACCAAATCTTGAATCTCCTTTAGCCCACACCGGGATATCCCTACATCTTCCCAGGGCTTTTTCCTGTCAGATGCACCCAAGTCCTTAGCCCAGCTGTGCCACTGCAAGAGTCTGCTCTTGTATTTTTTCCCCTCCCCAAGAAGGGAGGGAGCCACTTTCAGGCCCTTCTGGGTGTTGCCTGGTTGGATACCTGCTGCGAACAGCCACCTACCTTGACTCCCATAGCATAGGACACAAGCCAGCTGTGAGCTCTGTGAAGTGAGCAGAAACGTGCTCAGCCATCTGCAGGCCTGCTTCTCCTCAGCCCTCTGCTGAGGAAGGACCTCCTTCCTGAAGACTTTCCGCCTGGGGCTCGGTGAGGGCTGCACAGAGACCCGGTGCTTCAGATAGAATTCTGGTGATTCTGTGCTGGTGCATCCCCTAGTGACTTAAAGAGATCTTGACAGGGGCACCATGAGTAGTGGGCACCTCGCTTCAAACCTTCAGAGAAGAGGGTAGAATGAAGAGAATGCTAAATCTTTTTTCTTTTTCTTTTTGATGGGATGGGATTTTTCTCTTTGTAATTTTTAGTTTAATTAACCTTTTGGTTGTTTGTGCAATATTATATATTTTAAATTATAATGCATCTCCCCAGAGTATTTTGTAGCTGGGAAAAGGAAAAAAAAAAAGAAAAATTCTAACAGCTGTTAGTTTTGTAATTAAAAAGGAACAAAAAGCAAAGTTTGTCCTGAACCTTTTACAGATTTGTCATAACAGCATTAAAGTGATTGAACAGAAGCCAGAAGTGTCTGGGGATGTTTCTGTCCCCACAGCTGCAGGTGTGACTTCCTGCCCGGAGCTGGCACTATAGGTGGGGTACAGCCTGGGTCCTGAGGCCTCTGGGTTGAGAAAGGGATGAGCCCAACCCACGGAGGCAGGAGGCCATTTCTTCGTCTCAAGGACCTTTGCTTTTGTGTGGAAAACAGGTTGTAGTACCTGAGCAGCTCCAGTGGGGCATGTTCCTTCTCTCTTCTCCCTGCCCAGGATGGCTTTAGGGTCTAACTTAATGAACCTTAACTAAACACCTATAAACATCATTTTGAGAACCATTAATAAAAGGCCCTTAGTTCTAAGATCTTTAGAGGGAAAGATGTCTCGGTAAGGGATTTGTGGGACCTCCTTAGGAGGTAGAAGTAGGCTAAGTTAAGTGTCAAATATAGATCACCATTTTAGAAGCAGGTGTTTGGGTTTGCTTTCTCCCCCTACTTTATTGGGGAGGACTTGCCATTGCTTTTATCAAGTGCTTGCTAGCCATGGGTGCCAACTAACTTCTTCGATTGAAGGCCGGAGTATCATATCTGGTTCCAAGAGCCGCTTGAGCAGGTCCTGGCATTCGGTTGAGATGCCCAGATGAGTGGGGAAGGATACCCCCTTCTGTTGCTGCCACAGCATCTTGGGGATATCTGTGTCATCAAAAGGTAGGCTTGCACAGAGCATTACATACAGGACCACACCCATGCTCCAGACATCACCTTTCTTGCTATCATGGGGTATGCCCTGCAGCACTTCGGGAGCGGCATAGGCTGTGCTGCCACAGAAGGTCTGGCTCAGCTCCCTGCATGACTTGGGTAGAACCTTGGCAAAGCCAAAGTCGGTCAGCTTCAGGTTGAAGCCCTGCAACAAGGCGTTCTCACACTTAAGGTCCCGGTGGGCCACGCCACAGCCATGGCAGTAGCGAATAGCCTCAACCATCTGGCGGAAGAGGGCCTTGGCCCGGCTCTCGGGAAGCGGCCCTCCGTTCAGCACACAGTCAAAGACATCCCCTCCCTCAGCCAGTTCCATCACCAGGTAGATTTTTCCATCTGCTGACTCCAGCATCTCATACACCCGGATGATGTTTTTGTGGTCCAGGGTACGGACAATCTGGAGCTCCCGGGGCAGGAATCTCTGGATAAACTCTGAGGGGGAAAGTGGAGAGGCAAAATGGACTATCAAAAAAGGAGGGCCTAATTCCTCCCTCCTGGCTCCCGTTTCTGTCTTCTGGACACCCACCGTGTCTGTGTGTCCCTCCTTGACTCCCTGAATAGTCTCAGAAGTTCTCGCAGCAAATATCCCCTTTTCTGACTTCATAGTTAGCTCATACTTGGAACCTGCTCCCTGCAGCCTGTGAGACCACAGATAAGGGGGTACTTGGGAACTTCAAATAAAGCTGCTGAATCCCAGGGTTCTTTCCAGGAGCCCTGTTTTCCTGTCCCTTTTCCACCTCTCCTTACCAGTTCCTATCATCTAGCCAATACCTCCTGGGATAGGAAAAACTGAGGCCCCTTTGCCATATATTTTGTGAATATGGGCAGTGCAGCGATCCTGGATCTTCACATCCGTCTATTACAGACCTGAGGGCAGTAATCTGGCTTGTTTTGCCCGTCACCAAAAGGGAAGAGCTATTTCTGACTGAGCAAAGCACCTACCCACGTCTGCTAGCCCACCCTCCAAAGGGCCCCTGCTCACCTTCTGGCCCTCCCATCTTGTCTATAATTTTAATTGCCACTTTTCTTTGATGTTTTTTGGAAAATGCTTCTTTGACTTTTGAGTAGGTCCCTTCCCCAATGGTCTTGCCCAGCTGGTACCCATTGGAGAGAAGAAAGTCCTCCATGCTGTGTAGCGCCTCCTTTCGTCACCCTCTCAGCTCATGCTGCCTCTGCGAGGCAGCGCTACTCCACCATCGCCCTTTGCCTGCTTCTTTTCCCCCCAAGGACTTCATCCACAGCCGCCTCCAGGGCTAGAACATTCTCCGACTGGACACAGCCACAGGTGGTGGGGAGGGAGAGGACCAGACATTTTTAAACTCCTGCCCAATTGTGATGTAAATGCTGTGTGACCCTCAGACAACATGGGCAGTGTCCCTACTTGCCCTCACCACCACCAGCAAACCCAGCCTGAGTTAAGTCATTCATGAGTTGAGTAAGGCACCGAGTGGTAACAGTGCCGGAGAAGGGACCCCGGTGGCTGTTGTAGGCCAGGGAAGCCAGGTTCTGCTTCCAGGCAAGTCTCCCTCATCCCCGAAGTCTCCATCGAGCTGTTGGGAGATAGTGCAAACCGGTCACCAAACTGCGGTCGCCAGAGCCCTTTGGTTTCAGGCCCCGGGCCCTCACTAAATGCCCACATGGCCAAGGGTAGCCTAGAATTCCAGCGAGGAATAGGCTGTGTGAGGTCAGCACGCAGAGCCCAGGGTCACAATGCAGCCCTCCCCTTCGGCACTGGGGCCCCTGCGCTCAGCAGACACCTGCCAGGCTCCGCCTGGACCGGAGCGTCCTCCCGCCGCCAGGGCTCGGGCAGTTGCTTCCAGCCTGGGACCGGCCTCGGCCTCCGGCAGGTAAGCCACGACCCACGAGCAGCACGGGCAGGGAGCGTCCAAGGCTCCGGAGCTGCCTGACCGTCACTCCCCGCGCAGAGTGTCCCGGGCCCTGGACATGAGTGCCCAGGAGACCCCACAGGGTCGAAGATTCCCCATTGAGGCCGGAGACTCCCCTGGCCTTGCCTCCGCCCCCGAGTCCCAGGACAGCCCGGAGCCAGTAGCTACGGATCATAACCCTGTCAGGTGAGGCAGATGCCCTCTGTCCCTCGGCCCCGCCCCATCACCATCCCCAGGGCCCTACCCTAGAGGATCCCAGGCGCGCCCCAACACTATGCGCCCCCTGTCGCCTGCCGCTTTCGCCAGGCCGCTCCGACGCTGCCCGGGCTGCCACTGTCTGACGCTGCTGCACGTGCCCATCGACGTCTACCTGGCCATGGGCGGGAGCCCCCGGGCCCGTGCCACCTGAGTGCGCCTGTGCACGGCAGCTCCGCAGGAGCCGGGCAGGACGAGGCCAGTCGCGGGCCACCACGCTGAGGTCGCACGCGCCGAGCACGAGACAATGATGCACATTTTAAAATAAAAGAATGATGCACATTTTAATAAAGCACAGCATAAACTGTTCTTTCCACTCCGGGCTGGCCGTGTATGTGTATCCGTCGGATCGAGCTGCTCTGCCCTAGCCAGTACCGCCCCACTAGCCCTCCTCCCTCAGACCAACCTTCGACCCATCTCCACTTCCCAACCCGCCTCCCTCTAGGGTAGTGGTTCTCACGCTGTGAGTGGCGACCAGTCAGGGAACGCTTGAAAACACTTGAAGACTGTAGGAAAACACACAATTGGGGTTAAGAGGTAGCAACGAAAATACCTATGGTTGGGGGTCACCACAACATGAGGAACTGTATTAGGAAGGAGCTGTATTAACTGCATCAAGAAGGTTGAGGACCACTGTTCTAGGTAGGGGCTTGTTACCCTCTTGAGAGGAATTCTTGTAACTACCATTTACCCTGAGAATTCTTCAGTTGTCTTCCCCCCCCCCCCCCCCCCCCGTCCCGGGTTTCCCAAAGAAATCATTCTCTGCGGGACGCTGGCTGCTCACACCTGCTTAAGACTGGGGGAGGGGGAGATGAGCAGACAATGTGGAAGAAAATCAAAGGCTGACCACAGCAAGCCTATGTAATTCTTCCAAGCTAGAGTTGGATTCAGCTCCCTGCTGTAGGGGATCAAGGGACGACCCCACTTGCTCGAGCCTTTGGTTACAGTTCAGACTAGTAGTCTTGAGAAAATTTTTTTTTCTTTAAAGACTGATTTATTTTTAGTTTATATGTGTGTATGTTTTGCCAGCATGCCAGTCTGCTCACCATGGGCATGCACTGTCCACAGAGACCAGAAGAGGGTGTCAGATCCCCTGGAACTGCAGTTACAGGCAGTTGTGAGCCACTGTGTGGATGCCGAGGATCAAACACAGGACTTCTGGGACAACAGCCAGAGCTCTTAGCTGCTGAGTCATCTTTCCACCCCCTTTTTAATTTTTTTTTTTTTTTTTTTTTTGGTTTTTCGAGACAGGGTTTCTCTGCGGCTTTGGAGCCTGTCCCGGAACTAGCTCTTGTAGACCAGGCTGGTCTCGAACTCACAGAGATCCGCCTGCCTCTGCCTCCCGAGTGCTGGGATTAAAGGGTGCGCCACCATCGCCCAGCTCCCTTTTTAATTTTTTTTTTAAAGATTTATTTATTATGTATACAACATTCCTTCCATGTATGTTTGTATGCCAGAAGAGGGCACCAGATCCCATCACAGATGGTTGTGAGCCACCATGTGGTTGCTGGGAACTGAACTCAGGACCTCTGGAAGAGCAATCAGTGCTCTCAACCTCTGAGCCATCTCGCCAGCCCCCTCCCTTTTTAATTTTTAAGGCAGCTTTTCTATGTAGCACAGGCTAGCCGGGCACTCGACAACCTCCTACCACCATCTCAGGACTGAGATTACAGTACCATCACACCCAGCTAAAGTACCTTGTGTTGATTTCCTCACGAGCTCGCCCAGGTGGTCCTTAAATGCTAGGCTTTGTCTCATCCAGCCCAGGAATACCAAATCCTTCCACTCTCCCTTTTTCTTCTCACCTCTGGTACTTCCTTCCCTGCCCCACCCTCTTCTCAACCTTCATTTTATTTAAAAAGACCATAAAAATACGAAATAAATAAAAATGCTAAAAACAAACAAACAAAAACCCTAAAACCCTGTAACATAAGCATTTCCTGTACCTCCTATATGGTTGGTTTGTAAGGGAGCCTGACTTCAGGCGCTGACCTTGCCAGACAGATAACAGCTGTGCCAACTTGCTCTGTGAGCCAGAGAAAGGGCCATCCCAGGTGAAACACTGTGGGCAAAGGTTTTAAGGCAGGAAGGTGGAAAGCGGTTCTGGAATGAAGTTTTCACCTCCTCAAGCCCAGACGGTGTAGCATGCTGAGAGTCCGGGTTTACTGCAGAAACTCAAGGGACCACTCAACAGAGAAAAGGTACATCAAGGAAGCCTTGAGGCCCGAGCTGAGGAGTTTGAGCTTTGTTCTGCAGACAACAGACCAGGCTGGGCTCCATCCTCCTGTTTCTCTGTCTTCTATTCTTCTCCATCCTCCTATCTAGAAAAACCTCCGGCTTCAACTCCAATCCTGAGTTCAAGTCTTGTCTCTGCCACTCCCTGCTGCATGACCTTGGGCCGATATCTAAGCCTCTCTGAGCTTCCACATTCTTATCTGGAAGGGGGGGGGAGTGTTAAGTCCCCTCTACGAGGTTTTGGTAAGGTCATATCTATATCATACCAGGTAGGAGGCCAGACTCAGCCCTTGAAAAAGGCTGAAATTGTTGGCACTCTGACCTTTGATTTCAAGGGGCAGCAAAGAGCCAGGCAGCCATGGATACTGTCACCGTTCTGCAGAGGGTTGGATCTAGAGCCTAGGGAAGGGACAGCTTCTAGAAAAATCCTTAGTTAGAAAGGATTTTTTCTACATAACCCTACATGCCTCGTTCTCAAGGGTAGGGCTGCCCAGAGACTACGGTACAGGACCCCCTGCTCCCAAGCCTTAGCCTGGGCCTGAGCAATGACAAGGGACCCAGAAAAAGACATTTGAATCGCTGCCTTCTCTGACTTCTCTCACAGATACCTTATTAGCTAGCCCCTCCCTAAGGGACCCCCTTTTAGAAGGAAGGGGGCGAATCCAAGTACAGATGGACCCCCCAGGTTTCCATGGAGACGGCAGGGAAAGGGTTGCTGCATCACCATGGCAACAATTGACGTCAGCACTATTTCCCATCTCTTGATATGAGAGGGGGGCAGCCGCCCCAACCGCGAACAAATCCCCCACAAAGCCTCCTCCCCTCACTGAGCCAATCAGCTGAAGGGTGGACAGGCTTAATATAGCACTAGAGGTAAAAAGCAAGGCTCTGATGTATGTCAACCCTCGGTTCAAATCCTTGCTCTGCCTCATCCTCGCTGTGGAACTCTGAGCAGATTCCTTAACCCCTTCAAGCTTCAGAGGTAAAGCCAGGGAAAAGCCAACCTTCCTTCAAGGGCTGCAGGTCACACATTAGGACCGGGCCATGGGAAGAGTGCAGTGACAGTTTCTCATTTTGGGATCTGTCAGGGAGTGGTGGCCTTGCAGATACAGTCTCAACCAAGCGCTAGAGGGGGGCCCCAGGATGATCACGGACCAGACCCCAGGATGTGTGCTCTTGACGAAGTCAGTGCCAGTGGAATTTCCAGGCTCTGAGGAAACCACAGAATGTCACGGTCCCTGAAACCCATCACATCCGGACTCTGACCCAGCTTCCTCTCTCTCCTCCTCCCCGATGCCCTGGACTGAGCCTTGTCAGCAGTCTTTGACTTCCTGAGCCTCCATCCGCTCCTACAGGGAGAAAGATGAATGGGAGGACCGCGGGAAGACAGAGGCCAACCCTGCAGCAGGTCGGACAGGGCGGCCCGGAGCAATGATGGGTGTTCCACACCCATGGCCCCTTCCCCACGCGCCACTGGGCCTCAGAGGCATGCCGTTCCTGCTCATTTCCTCCAACCAAGGCAAACCCCGGCACCATTCTGAGTGAGATTCTGTCACCAGCCATCCAGACTCCTCTCATGTTGGCCCTAACCACTCTCAGCCTCCTCCTTGCTTGGTTGTCCCAGTCTCCAGCTGCAGGAGTCAGCCCTCCTTAAATCTCATCAGTGGCTTTATGTCGCTGGTCCAGCCACATCAGATACCAGGCAGCTCCTCACAAATCTATCTTCCTGCCTTTTTTTTTTTTCTCCCAAGACAGGATTTCTCTTGTGTAGACTTGTCTGTCCTGGAACTCCCCTTTAGACCAGGCTGGCTGGCCTTGAACTCACGGAGATCTGCCTGCCTCTGCCTCCCGAGTGTTGGAATTAAAAGGCACCACCACTTCCTGGCTGTGTTTTTTTTTTAACCTGCCTTTAGCCCCAGCCCTGGTGTGAGTGGAACATGAGGGCCACTGAGGCTTGTAGACAGAGGGGGGCTCTTGTCTCAGGGGCATAAGGAAGAGTCCACACAGCAGGACACCCAGTGTCCATCTCTGGCTTCTACCCTAGAATGTGGGCACATGCACACATACACACAGATAATAAATCCTTTTTTTAAAACAATAAAAGTGATGTACACACTGTTAATCCCCAGAGCATGTCTCTAAATAAACAGATAAATAAGTAAATAAATAAAAACCAGTCACCTGTGCTTTATATACTTCATTTAAGATGCTGGGCTGGAAAGCTGGCTCAGTGGTTAAGGGCACTGGCTGCTCTTCCAGAGGACCCAGGTTTAATGCCCAATACCCAAGGAGCAGCCCCAGTTACAGGGGACCCAATACCCTCTTCTGGCCTCCATAGGCACCAGGCAAATGAGTGGAGCACAGACATACATGCAGGCAAAACACCACATATAGGATGTAAATGAGAATTGAAAGAGGAAGAAGAGGAGAAAGAGAAGCGAGCCTAGACTTCTGATTCAAGCAAGTGTTTCTACAGGAGGACTTGATTGCTGTGAGACAGGAGCATGGCTGTCATGGTCACACAGCCTTGGAAGCCTCCAGGAGGCAGGTAGGGGTCGGGCAAAAGTCAGTTTGAAAGACAATAGGGTCTCTGACACCCACTGGAAGCACGAGAACCTAGATAGACTGGGACTTGCCCATGCCAGGGTGAGGGGGGTAAGCCAAAGACCGTGAACCTGCCACACTGCAAAAGCTTCTAAGATAGCAAGAACAGGAGCTCACAGTGTCTCAAAAACAAGGGCCCCAAAGTATCTCAAGCGGGAGGGAGGTTCTGACTGTGTGAGTGTCAAGTAGGCCACCGATGAGGGGTCCAGTCAGATAGGCTCCGTGCATCCATTGGATTTAGCAACAAGGAGGTCAGAGGATGACCTTGAGGAGCTGTTCCCACGGGTTGGTGAACGCGGGAGGAAACCAGATTGCGGCGGAGGCCACACAGCCAAGTCCCCTTCTTCAAGAATGCTGGTCTGTAACTGTAAAGGAGCTGGAGAAGGGAGTGGAACAGGAAGGCTTGCTTTTCTCGCAGAGATAGGCAAGCCCAGATCCTGCTG